GAGCTGAACAATAGCTGGACACCCATGCATTATCCACTCCTGCAGAGGGGTGAGGAGGTACATTTTTTCTTTCTTTTAAAATGGGTATACAGTATACCAAAGCATGAACACTTATTCCATCTTGTAAGTACAACTCAAAGAATCCTAATTTCTAGGATAGCTGGTGTTCATCTGTAGCAGAAACAGACAAATAGGGTGGTGGCTTAAAGGCTAGGAAATTATTATGGCATAAGCCTTTCATAAAGGAGACCCTGTTCCACTGGATGAGAGATAAGCAACTTGTGGCTCTCCATATGTTTGGGCTTGCAAGTGCCACCACCCTTCACCATTAGGTATGCTGGCTGGGACTGATGGGAAGTGTAGACCAAAATCAAATCACCCACAACTACACTAGATGTATGAAATGTTAACAATGATTTTTTTAACCTTTGTACTAGTGGTGGGCAAGAAAATTAAGTAGTGCAAGAGCTACACCAGCCTTATACACAAGGCCAGAAAAGTTAGTAGCTTGGAACAAACTAGCTCTTAGCACAAACCAATAAAAACAACAACCCCGGCTTCTACCAAGTGGGCTGACAGACAGGGGATGGATCTCTTTGTCCTTGTCTACCTGTCTACTGCCTTTCCCAGTGAAGGAAAGGGCTAGTCTTCTCTCACAGCCAGCACAAGTGGCCTGGTGGAAGAGGGACAGAGCAATCTGTGTCTCTTCTTCCAAACCATTCATTCACCCAGACAGCGTCCCTCATCACAAAACAGTAGCACTGGAAAGGACCAGCCCCCTGCTGTTGGAGGTCACCAATTCTACACCATCCAGCTCAACCAGGCAAGGAAATGCATGGTTGTGCTGTAGTCTGTGATAATTCTATGCAAAACCATGTGAACAATCCCCACATTCCCATTACTACAAGCAAAGGACTTTGCCTTATTAAACCATAAGGTGTATGAATAGTGTGTTAAAGCACACAGGCCACCTGGTTCTGCTTTCCTTGAGCAGATAAACCATGATCTGCAAATTTATGTTCTTGTTAATTCTGAACTAGGATCAGTTGCTCCTAAACAAACCAGAATTGAAAGTCTGCTTTAAAGGAAGAGATGAAATAGCCTTGCAAATTGTGGTTTGTTTGGGTTCAGTTAACTATAGTTTTGAATTTGAACATCCTGGGTTGGCTTGGATATTACAATGATAAATGTAAGTCAACTGGGCTACAGTTTTCTGGGATGTGCACTGCATGCAAGTAACTTCCAGTTTAAATAATCTATGAATGCCCTATTTATAAATGGTTAGTGTAATGTCTGAAATGAATACTCTGAGTTGTTTATGGGTTGAACAACTCAGGGTTAACTTAACAGGGGTGGTCTACATCTACACCTACACCAACTGGATTAAGTAACACAAGTGTCGCCATGATGTGCAACCCAGGTCATTAAGAAAGTAATATTCAAATGCAGCTCCCTGGTTTGTCTACCCATTTGTATGAAAGGGGATGGGGAACAATCTTCCTGCTCCAAGATGCTGCTCACATATATCGTGGATCGGCATGCCAGGTTTAATTGTTGCCATGATTCGCTACATGGCCAATATAGTCTTGTATACATTGGGTTGGATCCAAAGGAAATCAGTCATGTTTACCAATAGGATGACAGAGTGACTAACTTTCAGGTGCCACAAGACTCATTGTTTAAGTACCAGGTTTTTATTGCTGTATTCTCAGGGAGTGTTTATGAACTCTGAAAGTTAACAGTTGATTCCAATGGCTTTCACCAGGATGTGTACCCACCCAGTGTCTTTGCCTTGCCTCTGCTTTTCCTAGTCTAGTTCTGACAGGTGAAATGTTCTCACCTTTGGACTAGTCCATTCACTGTTCTGAATCTGAAAAAGGACATGGTAGAGAAAGAAGCAGAATCAACAGGATCTGGATAGAAGTAGCTGGAAAGATTACTACTCCACTCTAGCTTTGAAAAATAATATACACAATGTAGACCAATAATTATTGTATTATGGGGGTGGTGTGCATGTGCTTGTATTCACCTATCACGCGCCTGCTTTCATCTAATGTCATGGTTCTACTGGAAAACCCAGACAGAAGGCTCTTCTCATCTAGCCCCACCAGGAAGCCTGTAGTCCTATGTGCTTCTCTCTAGGCAGAGTGGAATTTTTGCTTTGTTGGTACGATAAATCTTATTGGGGTTGAGGAGAACACTCCTAACCTCTGCCAAGGGTCAACTGAGGAGGGGTCAGGATGGGGTGGATGACCCTTTCCAGCCCGCTGTGTGTCCATAGCATCTCAGCAAACATCAGGCTTTAAAAATACAACTCAACCAAAAAATATCAAAATTAGGGCTATTCTCCAATTGAAGAGATCATAGATGATTAATAGACTTCAAATTAGCTCCTTAGGGGAAATTATGCTTCCCTAACTGCTGGCAGCTATAATTCCAAACAAGGATGTGTGTGTCAAAAATGTTGCGCTCCTAGTCTAGTAAAGCAGTCCACAAAATTCATAGTTTGTCTGTCCACACATACTTCAGCAGTCATTAGGTGGTACGTCTAGTGCCTAACAAGGTCAGCTCTTGCAGATGACCAGAGCCAATATTATTTATGTATTTAAAACATTTTGCATTTCTGCCAAACACTCAAGGCAGCTTTTGTTTTTGTAGCTCTGGCTTACAATCTAAGACATCATATACAGGAATGGAAGAGAGAAGCAAATTCAAGTACTCCTCATGCTTTTACCTAATGAGTTAGATTCAGATTTAGGCCTGCTTAAACCATACCCACTGAAACCAGTAAGACTTAAGTCAGTCAGAATATCACAAGATGCAGTGACAGCACCAACTTAGAGATGTCTTTAGAAGGGTGTTAGAGAAATTCATGGAGGTGGTTCTTAATGGCAACTAGTCATAGCAGCTAAGCATTACCCCCAGTAGCTGAGGCAGTATGCTTAGGAGCAGCAGGAGAAGGCTGCTACTTCTTGTCCCACTTGTGAATTTCCTGTTGACATCCAACCGGCTACTGTGGGAACAGGCTGTTGGCTTAGCTAGCTCTGGTCTGACTTAGCATGCCTCTTTAGTTCCTATGACTGACTTGTCATATCGATTCCAGTGGGTTTTCTCTAGGCATGACTTAACTCTGAATTCAAGTCAGTGACCAGATGGAATGCTCACTACAGGAAATTATTCTAGGAGGGATAAGCCAAATTGCAACTGGTTCCAGCCAGGCCAATGGAGTGTGAGCAGCCCTTGGGTGCAGCTACTTGGAATAGAGCCAGTGTGGTGTAGTGGTTAAAAGCATGGGACTGGGACTCAGACGACCTGGGTTCTAGTCCCCGCTCAGCCATGGAGCCAACTGGGTGACTTTGGGCCGGTCACAGACTCTCAGCCCAATCTGACTCACAGGGTTGTTGTTGTGGGGATAAGATGGAGGAGGAGAATGATGTAAGCTGCCTTGAGCCCCTTGAAGGAAAATGCAGGCAGGATATAAATTGAGAAAAAAATAGGTGTTGATGGACAGTTTGGGAGGAGTGGAGCCAAATGCCAGTTTGTCCCAGTCAGCCTTCTGGAAGATGTTGCACTGACCATCCAGAGGCAGCCAGTACAGAGGCTGACCATGAAAGCTGTTCTCTTGCCATAGGCAAAGGGCTGGCTAGAAGCCTGCTGCTAACATGCCGGATGACTCGTTTTATAGCAGCAGAGGTGAGACAAGGTTCAGAAAGGAGAGCTGTAGGCTGTTTTGTTACGTCAACAGCAGGGTATGTGTACACAAAGTGATTTTAGTGTGCTTTCCTAGTATGAAAAGAGCTATGAGTTTGTAATTTTGCTCTCTTCTTTCTCTCCTATTCTAGGCAAATATCTTTGAATATCTTAGAAGCCTGCAGTAACTGGATTGGCTCTGAAAAACTACTCTCCCACCCTTGATTTTTTAAAATAATGATTGGACTTTTGTGCCATTTTTTATTTTATGTATATATTTAATGTCTGCATCTATACAGATTTGTTGCTAGTTGCATCCGACCCATCGTGACCCTGTGGGCCTTCAGATGGCTTTTGGACTACATTAGTTATAATGCTCAACTGAGAATCCCCTCTCAATCCCCTCATCTCTAGCAATTGCCATTGATGTCCTCACTCAGCTAAAATAAAATGGCAGCCATCTGGAAACAGTTGTGACAGCCTGGAACTAGGAAATGGGGAAATCGGTGAAACCGGAAGTAAGGATTTAACAGTTTAAAGATAAAGGAGATGAGCATGCCAGAGTTTTATGTATGTAATAGTTGTTACCTCAAGGCCTATCTCTCCGATACTATGTGTGATTATATTCAGGTGGGGAGATTATTACACTGTGGACATGGAAATAGACTTTCCTTGCAGTGGTGCCTGCCCTGCCCTGTAGAATGAGCTCCTCTCTTAAGTATGTCAGACTCAACTCTGAAAACATCTGTTTGCCCTGGCTTCTTTCCAGCTGTGAGCTTCCTTTATACCAGCCTCAGGATAGTATAGTGTGCAGGGGTGGGAGGGTTGTTTGTTCATTCTTTTATAAACTGCTTAAGGATGTTTCAAATGAGTAGTGATAAATAGTTAATAAACCCAGGATAAGAAGTTCTGTCTACCCTGGAACAGAGACTATTTGCCTTAATTGTGTGCATGTGTAATTACATCCCAATTTAACCAGATGCACTTTAATGGCTTTATTTAATGCATATCTCACCTTTCTTCTAGCTTGAAACTCAAGCAGGCATGGAGAGAGTTCCCAGAGTTAGCAGTAGCTAAAGCCATCCTCATTTCTGGCATTCCCTTCCCCTTTCTGCTTCCCAGAGATTAACACCTTTCAGTCCAACCACAAGGTCTCTATTATTCATTCTACAACCTAGTCTGTGGGACTCCTGCATAGACCCAACAGTGCTACTTTCCAAGCAAAGTAAGGTGGTGATGTGCCCATCCTTACAGAAGAGCTGTCAAGGACAATCCTCTACTTGAAGGCATCCTTTTTTCTGAATTAAACAAAAAGGACTAAACAAGAGCATGTGCTAGCCAGTTACAGTCTTCCCCACTAAAGTGATATTTCTATTGAAATTGCCATAGTCATTTCTCTATTCATATCTACAGTATATCACAGAAGTGAGTACACCCCTCACATTTTGTAAATATTTTATATCTTTTCATGTGACAGTCCTGAAGAAATGACACTTTGCTACAATGTAAAGTAGTGAGTATACAGCTTGTATAACAGTGTAAATTTGCTGTCCCCTCAAAATAACACACAGCCATTAATCTAAACCGCTGGCAACAAAAGTGAGTACACCCCTAAGTGAAACTGTCCAAATTGGGCATTATTAGCCATTATCCCTCCCTGGTGTCATGTGACTCATTAGTGTTACAAGGTCTCAGGTGTGAATGGGGAGCAGGTGTGTTAAATTTGGTGTTATCACTCTCATACTGGTCACTGGAAGTTCAACATGGCACCTCATGGCAAAGAACTCTGAGGATCTGAAAAAAAGAATTGTTGCTCTACATAAAGACGGCCTAGGCTATAAGAAGATTGCCAAGACCCTGAAACTGAGCTGCAGCACGGTGGCCAAGACCATACAGCTGTTTTAATAGGACAGGTTCCACTCAGAACAGGCCTCGCCATGGTCGACCAAAGAAGCTGAGTGCACGTGCTCAGCGTCATATCCAGAGGCTGGCTTTGAGAAATAGACGTATGAGTGCTGCCAGCACTGCTGCAGAGGTTGAAGGAGTGGTGGGTCAGCCTGTCAGTGCTCAGACCATACGCCACACACTGCATCAAATTGGTCTGCAGGGCTGTCGTCTCAAAAGGAAGCCTCTTCTAAAGATGATGCACAAGAAAGCCCGCAAACAGTTTGCTAAAGACAACTAAGGACAAACTAAGGACATGGATTAGTGGAACCATGCCCTGTGGTCTGATGAGACCAAGATAAACTTATTTGGTTCAGATGGTGTCAAGTGTGTGTGGCGACAACCAGGTGAGGAGTACGAAGACAAGTGTGTCTTGCCTACAGTCAAGCATGGTGGTGGGAATGTCATGGTCTGGGGCTGCATGAGTGCTGCCGGCACTGGGGAGCTACAGTTCATTGAGGGAACCATGAATGCCAACATGTACTGTGACATACTGAAGCAGAGCATGATCCCCTCCCTTTAGAGACTGGGCCACAGGGCAGTATTCCAACATGGTAACGACCCCAAACACACCTCCAAGATGACCACTGTCTTGCTAAAGAAGCTGGGGGTAAAGGTGATGGACTGGCCAAGCATGTCTCCAGACCTAAACCCTATCGAGCATCTGTGGGGCATCCTGAAATGGAAGGTGGAGGAGCGCAAGGTCTCTAACATCCACCAGCTCCGTGATGTCATCATGGAGGAGTGGAAGAGGACTCCAGTGGCAACCTGTGAAGCTCTGGTGAATTCCATGCCCAAGAGGGTTAAGGCAGTGCTGGAAATAATGGTGGCCACACAAAATATTGACACTTTGGGCCCAATTTGGACAGTTTCACTTGGGGGGTACTCACTTTTGTTGCCAATGGTTTAGACATTAATGGCTGTGTGTTGAGTTATTTTGAGGGGACAGCAAATTTACACTGGTATACAAGCTGTATACTCACTACATTGTAGCAAAGTGTCATTTCTTCAGGGTTGTCACATGAAAAGGTATAACAAAATACTTAGAAAATGTGAGGGGTGTACTCACTTCTGTGATATACTGTATACCTACAAAGTAAAACACCAAAATGTAAGCACAACTGTAGGCTTTTTCTAGTGATGCTTCCCCACCCAAAAAAAATAAAAAAGGCATCTCTTGCTCCTCCCTGAGTGATACTTCTTTTCTAATGTCCAATACCACTCCTGGAATGAAGTCTTTCTAAAACCTCCAGGCTAAGCTGGCATGTTCAAAGCCAGTAACCACACCAACCTTCCCCAACCAGGTTCCATGTCCCATGTGGTAACTAAAACTGGCCTTGCTTGCTGCAAATGATGGGAACTGCAGTGCAACTATCCGGAGGGTACCAATTTGGGGAAAACTGAAATAGACACAATTTACCTTCCAGCCTAAATCAGTCTGCCTCAGGACATGCTTGTACAACAGCTTTGCCAGTGGTGGGCACCCACTTATGGAATTACTTCTCCACTGAGGCCTACCTGGTATCAACTTTAATATCCTTTTTAAGGATTAAGACTGCCCTCTGCCTCAGAGCATTTAGCTTACTTGGGCTTTGTTAGCTACTTATACAGTTTGTCTGGTTAATTCATACAAGTTATTGTAATTTTTAATATGCATTTTAACTTGTTTTCGTCTTTATATAACCTTTTAACGCTGTGTTTGAACGATGTATTTTAAATTATATTTTATGTGCTGCTGTAAACCTCCAGAGAGCTTCAGTTATTGGGCGGCACTGAAATTAAATAAACAAAACACAGACGTTGCCAAATTGCTGCTGCCACGTTCCCTGATGCAGAATCCTCCTGGGTCCGCAGCTACAACTTGCAGGGCGAGCTCTTCACTCCTCTGAAAGGGGGCGCCTAAATTGCAGCAGGCAGGCACTGGGCAGCTATGAAGGGGCCATGAGGCAGTCGGCTCCACGGAGGCCACGTTCGAGGCCTGCTTGATACCTCAGAACGAGCCCAGAAGGAGCGCCTAACAGGCTCAACCGCGGATCGGCTGCGGTCCAACTGCTCCTTGTACTCGACGCGGCTCGAATTGCTGCCTAGTGCGCATGCGCAACTTTGAAACCTCCACCACTCGTCTGGTATCTTACGGTAGAAGCGGCATCCATTTCCTGCGCAGGCGCAGATTTATGCCCGCCCTCGGGGGAAGAGCTGACCAGCCCTACGTTAGTTGACGCTAGCGAGTACCCGGATGTGGAGGCTTACTGTGCTATAGTCTGGCGAAAGAGACAGATCGGAGGACTGAGGTGCATGCGCAGTTGTGCTCTTGCTTCTTCTAGGGTTTGGACGTCTTGGCCGGTCGCTGCGCTTTTGAGTGAGGGCAGCGCTGAAGGGGAGGGGCCTGGGCTAAGCCCACCCTGTTCCCTTGGGGGAGGTGAGTGGACCTGGTGGGTGGGCGAGGGGCAAAGGGCAGTGAGGAGGAAGCCCCGAATTCATAGAATAGCTTTCCTTGCCTCTGGGTGCGTTGGACTGCAACGACCATCACCCCATCCTGGCTGGGGATGATGGGAGTGGCAGACGAACAAATGTGGAGGGCAACCGGGGTGGGGTGGGAGGCGCTGAAATATAGGGATGGGGAGTGGGAAGGGAAGGGACAAGCTGGTGGGATCCAGACGGAGGAGGAAGAGAAAGAGAAGCCAGGGAGGTGCGGCATTCCAAGGAATGGCAGGCTGATTTCATCACTTTATCTTTTTACTTTGTGTGTTTGTGTTGTGTTTTCCAGTCCCCAAAGCATCCCCAAACAAGGCTGTAAGTAAGGATGAATCTGTTGATGAATAACTATAGGTTGAAGGTGGTAAAGAGACGCTAAGGAAACATCATTGGGAATCCAGTGTGGTAGAGACACAAGGGATGGGCTGTGGGGTGACAAGGGTGGGGTGAGCAACAAGAGGAAATAACCTGAGGCAGGTTTGTTGGGGGCAAAGGCCAGGTGGCACAAAGATTAGTGCAAATCTATGGCTTCCTCCTAGCAGTGCCAAGTGTGCGTGCTGGACAGCAGGGCTGGGCAGGCAGTGGGTGTGAATCTACTGGTAAAATTCTGGGGGATATGCATTAGATCAGTACAGATCTCACCTTCCACTACCTCAAATAAAGAAATATAGAAAGAAAAACACTCCTAATAGGCTGTTGCGAAATAACTCTTGCAGGAAATACAAGGAGTGGAATTTTGTTTGAAAGAACTTGTGAATTCAGTTCTGTTACCACTCTCAGATTCTTGGGATGCTCATGTGCTTAGCAGCATCTTGTCCTTTAATTCCTAGCACATGTCCATCATCAGATATTTTGCATCTGGTTCTGGTTGGTGGGTCTTGTTCCAGTAAAAAGAAAAAAAGAAAACAAAGGATTTGGGGTGCGTTCTTTATTTGACCAGCCACTGTTTTTCTTGATATTCTGTTTTAATATTGTGTTCTGTTCTTTTACCTTTTTATTATTAATCTCTTCAAAACCTGTCTAGATGTGGAGCAACATATGCATGTTGTAAATAGATAAATGAGGCTGAAATATACCCACCGGAAGGCAGAGGACATGCAACTACTCTAGAGAGCAAACCCAAGATAGGTTTAAGTGGCATTGAATAGCCCGTGAGTTAAATAACAGGGATGAGGCAAGTGAAATGAACAGGGCCATGGAGTCTTCCCCAGCCTGGTGCTGTCCAGATGTGTAGGATGACAGTTCTCATTATTCCCAGCCAGCATAGCTAATGGCATGATGCGGTAGGGTAGGAGTTCTAGTTGAACACGTCCAAAGCACACAGAAGGCTTTCATAGTGTTTTTTCTCTTCAAGAAACAAATAAATTGTTTCTTTTAAGACATAACTGTAACTAAAAAATTAAGTGACCTAGTATAAGCCTCCCTTGTTGGTGCTGGAAGATCTCTGTTTCCATTTCTCTTTCTTCCATCTCTGCTCCATAGGTGGTGATGTCAGCTGAGGCAACAGCAGATCAAGTCCCACCCCTGGAGAATTGTGCTCCACTAGTCCTAACGCAACAGCAACGGGATGGCGGGGGAGCAGTTGCCGGTGTGACCTTTGATCTCAAACCCCTGAACCCCAGCAGCAAGTATGTCAAGCTGAATGTGGGAGGGTCCCTGCATTACACCACAGTGCAAACCCTTACCAAGCAAGACACGATGCTCAAGGCTATGTTCAGCGGCAGGATGGAGGTGCTGACGGATAGTGAAGGTACATGCTGAAGTGTCTTGGTGTCTCCTGCCATCCTGATAACCCGGTGGTTGATTTTTTTTGCATGACACAGCTTATATTTGTGAATATTTATTGCTTCTCAAGGAGCTGGATGTGAACTACTGAGAAATCTGACTTTCACATCTTTGAAAGAGATAAAACCATTTTCTAGTCCCCATAGATGCAGAAGAGCACTTTGGACAGGTTGAAGGCAATATTTGAGAACTAGGTGGAGGAAGAAACAAATCTATCCTTCTCAGTTTTGTTTCTGTAGCATAGGTGACACTTTACCATTTCTCTGTGGCTCTGTGTAAATATTTGTTATATTTAATGTTAATTAACATTTGCAGGTGATGCCCCACTTGTGAGTTCTAGCCTACCAAGACTATCTATGAAGTTATTGAATGGGACCTTTCCAGTTGTAGAGGCTCAATTGCAAAACCCTTTCCCAAAGGAAAGTTGATTAAGCAATTAAAAAAAAAAGTTTTAAGATTCAGGCCATAGAGACATCCTCACTGCACTATCGAGTTGGCCTTCCCCCCCACCCCCCTCCCAGGGAGGTATCTGAATGGATTGTATTTTTTTAATGGACTTGTTTCATGTTCTTCTGTGGTTTTTGAAGACATTTTGGGAAACCTGTGGAACAGTTAAAATGCTAAGAAAAGATGATACAGAAATATCAGATATTTGATAAATAACCTTAAAAGAGCCATTGTGATATAGTGGCTGGAGCATTGGACTGGGATTCAGGAAACCCAGATTCTAGTGCCCACTTGGCCACAAAGCTCACAAGATGACTTTGGGTCAGTCAGTAACTCTCCACCTAACCTACCTTACAGGATTGCTGTGAGGCTAAAATAGAGAGGGGGATTCTGAAAACTGCCTTGGGTTCCTTGCAAGATGAAGAATAGGCAGGACAGAAATAAGAAATAGGATATTTTCAGCAGTGGCTGAAAGAGCAGCCAGTTATTTCAGTGTAGTTCTTCTAAAAAGGGAGAGTGCAGGATACCCTTCCAAATCCTCTGGCCAGGAACTGGGGTGAAAGGGATCATCCCTTTGCTGCTGGAAGATTTACAAGAAGTTTTTACTTCCTGGTCTGGCACTTTATCATTTGTGGTTTACTATCTATGAGTATGGTCCTGTTCAGAGAAGCAGAAGCAAAACTAATCCTTTTTAAAAGGATATTTGGTCCCTGCCCCACAGAGCTTGCAATATAAATCTGGTTAGTGTTGGCTGTTACTTTTTTCCCAGAGCCCTGAACAGCTTGTGATTTAAATCAGCAGCTCTTTCAGTATGATCCTGCCTGTATACACAGAACATCTGTAGAGGGGCCATATTGCCATCTGCAAAATGGTTAGCAGGAAAGCATGCAAGAGCCTTTGCTGGTGTAGCAGCACTCGGCTATGGCACACCCTGCCCTTGGGGATCCAGTTGGCTCTTGCTTGATAGCCCTGTCTAGTTCCAGTGCCATCGGAATACTTTTTTTAAAAATCTGGCAAGCCTTCAGCTGCACTTAACTTCAGCTGCTTGCAAGTCTTTGTTCTTATCTGCTCGCTCTGTCTGCATCTGATTGTTTTATAACTGATTTTCCTTCAGGCTGATGTGAAGTGGTGGGTGGAGAGAAGAAGGCAAACATTTTAATGAATTAATAAGGTGGGAGATCAGGAAGTTGTTTTACTTAGAGTAAATCAGGAACAAATCATTTTAATCTTTCTTTGACACAGCTTTGAGATTGTTCTATGACATAAAAGGATCTATTTTAATTAAGATTCTTAGATTTTATTGTTGAGACAAAATATATCTTTAACTACTTTACCTAAGATCTTAGCTGTTTTGACTTCATTATTATACAAGTTGTAAAATTCCCCTTTATACCATGTGTGTTTTCTCCAGACTAGGCCATTTTTAATGTTTGATTTAAAAGACACTTCCTACCACTGCTTCCATCCCCTACAAGAGCATTTGTTCAGGAACAACAAATAATTTCTGCCTTTCCAGGTTGGATCTACATTTTATATCTATAGTTGTTGTTACAACCATCCTGAAGATTTTGCTTATCATAGAGAAAGCACAGTACAATACATATTATATACATTAATTAATAAAACAATTACTTCTCTGAATCATTGAAATGAAGGATTACATTTCACATTCACTTATACATACATTATATATTTCTTATATAAGATTCAATGTTACTGACAATTTTCTATTTTTATATAGCTATAGAGTCTATGAATAGTCAAGTTAGGGAAAAGCAAAACTGAATAGTTGTACATCTTGTTTTATGTTCAGGTTGGATCTTGATTGACAGGAGTGGGCGCCATTTTGGAACCATCCTGAACTACTTGCGCGATGGCTCTGTTTCTCTCCCTGAATCCCAGCGGGAGCTGGAGGAAGTGTTGTCTGAGGCCCGCTACTACCTGATTCAAGGCTTGGTTGAAGACTGTCAACTTGCCCTACAGGTGAGTCAATTCCTACTGAGGAACTGGAGACATGGAGACTCCTCTGTTTGAAGGAACTGATGTTCCTGAGGAGAGGTAAGACAGCAAGGGTTGGACCTATGACTGTTTGGTCTTTCCCTCTCTGAATCAACTGTTCCATCTGGTAGTTTTAAGAATGATATAACATGTAATAACTGGTTCCTAAATTTGCTTATATATCTCTTCACTCCTCATTGTTCCCCATTTCATACTGCTTCTGTCAGATTGTATGCTATTTATTTTAGAGTGTAAACTGCCTTATGTACACTAGCAGAAAGGCAACACAGAAATATATTCAGTATTCAGTTTGCACATAATGGTTAACCATGGGTTGTTCAACCCATAGTTAGTTTTGGCTGTGCAGCAAGGAGTGAGCACACTGCTTTTCATGTCCATGTTTCTTCTACTTTCAATGAACATCTCAGAACATCCCATCTGTTCCTGGGTTGTTGTTATAACGTCCAAACCAAGAAACCCTGGGTTGTTTAGGGATTAAGCAACCCAGAGTTAACCCCTGGTTTGTTGTTCAGTTTATCCTGAATTATTTAATCCCTAAACTGAATTATTAACTGAATTATTTAACGCCTGGCACCGTCGTTACTGGTTTTTCGGCGCCAGGTAAAGACCTTTTTATTTAAACATCATTTCAATTGTTAAAACATATGATCTGGCCTGGGCAACTTCTTCTTCCTTCTCTTTCTCCTCCTATATTTTTATTTTATACTGATAATTTTAATTTTGTATTTGTAAATCAATGTATTTTTTGTATTTTTATATTTAATGGTAATTTATTATGTACTATTGTATTTCAATGTATTTTATCATGTTGTAAGCCGCCCCGAGGTTTCGGCAAGGGGCGGCATAGAAATGTAATAATAATAATAATAATAATAATAATAATAATAATAATAATAATAAACAATGCAGAGTTTCCAGGTGCAGACTGCATGGTAATAACCCCGGTATTGCTGCTACAGGAGAACCAGATAGCATAACATGGCAGATCCTGGGGCATATAATAGGACTGTAATATGTACATCTCATGTTTTTCCTGCCCAGCAAAAGAGCGAAGCCTTTGATCCCCTCTGCCACATCCCCATGGTGACATCTCCCAAGGAGGAGCAGCAGATCATCTCCAGCTGCTGCAAGGTAAAGAAGTTGTCAGATTCCCTGAGGCAGCAATGTTAGATGGCTTGGTGCAGTCGCCTGTTGAACAACTAGGGCCAGAGGCTGGATGCATGAGCACAGTCTGCAAGACAGGCACTTACTTGCCCAATTTATATTTATACAGTCCAAGTTCACTAGGTTACAACTCAACCTAGTGAACCTCCATCCTGAGATCTTGCATAATAGGACAGCATGCAAAAGCTTTTAATAAATATAAATGAATGAATGAATGAACCTCCTCCAATTTAATGTTCTCCATATGTTTTGATTCTAGCTCCCAGCATTCCTGACCATTGGTCATGCTGACTGGGGCTGATGGGAGTTTTAATCTAAAATATCTGAAAGATGCCACAGTGGGGAAGGCTATTAGGATCCATCTCAGCCTGGACTAGAACCTCCACCCATTATCTGAGAGATAAATGTGTTTCCTTAATGCACCGACTCATTTCTAACTAGCAGCACAATGACTCTCATACCGAAACCCACATGTGAAGTTTTTCCCCAAGCTTTTTTCAGAACAGCTGCCTGATTTATATTCTGTAACGAGGAGCCAAGTTGCACAAATTAGCTATCTCAGTCTGGCTTTCTCTGTCACTCACAGGCATGATTTGTAAATGTGTAGTGACAAAGTGTACCGTGGCAGCTGACAAGCAACTGTGCACATGAATTGCTCACCACATGTTATGGCCACCGTGTGGGCATCAACTTGAGCACCTTCTGCATGGTGGGTACCCAGTGCAAAAGCTGGAATGTTTGTGAGTGTTCCATGCATTTCTGTAAATTGCCCAGAGAATTTTGGCTATTGGGTGACAGAGAAATGTAATAGAAATGAAATCACCACAGCTCAGGGAGTTAAAAAATACAAATGGTTATAAGTGACTGGCAGTTTGTCTCAAGGAAGCTTAAAAAATGGCACTTGTAATGGGGGAGACTAGTAACAGTCTCACTTTTTCTAGCATTCCATAGTACTATCAATCATCAATCTCTCCATTCTTTTTTAGCCTGTGGTGAAATTGCTGCATAACAGAAGTAATAACAAGTATTCCTATACGAGGTAAGATACATCACCCAGCTGCTGGAATCGGGTGTAGCTCTGTATTGTATCTTCATCCACATCTTCCAGATTTGCCCCAAGCAAATTTGTCCACCTCCTTACACCATCGGTTTTCTTCCTTCCTCCCTTCCCACTCCAGTAACTCTGATGACAACTTACTGAAGAATATTGAACTGTTTGACAAACTAGCTCTGCGGTTCAATGGGCGGGTGCTCTTCATCAAGGATGTCCTTGGGGATGAGATCTGCTGCTGGTCCTTTTATGGGCAAGGCCGCAAGATAGCCGAAGTCTGCTGCACCTCCATTGTCTATGCCACCGAGAAGAAGCAGACCAAGGTAACTCATGGGCAGTCCGCTGCACCCAGGTGGAAGCCTGCCATGTCTGGATGCACTCTCGCCTGTTTACACAGAATTGTAAACCGGGATTCTAGCACATCCTGGCTTACCGTGACTGAAGTGGGTCTTGCTGCATGCAGCACTTGGACTCTCATTTGGCTCCTACGAAGGCAACCAGCCGCACAAGCTAGAAATACTTTGTTTAGTGTGTCATCTAAACCTGGGCTTCTGGCTTTCTGCTTCTTGAAACCAGAATTGAAAAAAACAAGTTTGGGAGCAACAAGCCAGGATTCAGGTTTGGATGACATGCTAAACAAGCCACTTCTGGTTTGTAGTCATGCCTTTGGGAAGGGTCAACAGTGTTCCATGCAGATACTGTGTGTTGGTGTGTGTACTGCCTTAATGGGAACAATCCTCAGTTTCAAGTTGGTACAGCCTCTGAGATTATATCCCATCTCTCTCCCTTTATACTTAGAAACATAGAAACAGAGCAAGTCAGAAGGGGCCTCCCGGGCCATCTAGTCTGATGTCCGGCACCAGCCGGCTCCGCTCATGACATGCCCACCATGTGGACTTCCAGTCTGTCCTTGAACACCCACACTGATGGGGCCTCAACGACCTCTCGTGGAAGCCCATTCCACACCCTCGGGGTCCTGACTGTCAGGAAGTGCTTCCTGGCATCCAAATGGAACCTTGGCTCCCTGAGCTTTGCTCCGTTGGAGCACATTCTGCCTTCCTCTGCAGGGGAGAACAGGTCTCTTCCCATCTCCATGTGACATACTTGACTCATACCACACTGTATGGAAGAAAACATCTATCTGTGTTGGCTCATTATGTTAAAATCAACTTCAGTGGGCTGCTATCATTGTCATCACACTTTGCTTTTCAGCCCAGATAAATTCCCCAAGTGGCTTCCAGTTCCAGTGGGGACATATATGGCAATAGATGACATTATCCAGATTCCCGCTTCTTCATTTGCAATGGAGGAGCAGGAAGAAACTGCAAGTGAACATAGACCAGTGTTGCCTGACAATAAAGATTCCAGCTCACAGATATCCTTTGCAACTGTTTGGTATTTTGTGAGACCCACTGCTTCAGTGGCCCCTTTGTTTGATTTTGTGGCTCATTGCACAGTTCGGCTGTGGTTGATAAGGCTTTTCTGCCCAACTAGAATGCAACAACAAACAGGATATACACTGGTCACTCTCCTAACAAGGACACTGTTGCTCCTAGTTCCCACACAGGAGGACCCAGTGAACCTCTTGGTCAGGTGCTGCTTAAGCCCAGAGATGTGCTAGGCCAGACAAAGCTCACCCCCTGCAGCATCCTGTCTCCTGCAGCGGCCCACTGCTTGCCCCAGTGGGAAGCCCACCAGCAGGATGGGAGGACAGCAGCACCCTCCCAGTTTTTTCCCCCAGCTCTGGTACTGATCCTGGAGCTCATATATAGGCATTATGATTAGCAGCCATTAATAGTTTTTTCTAATTTCTCAGCTTGCACTTTGATCCTCCAAGAAGTTTAGAACAACAGCCGTGCAAACGAGGTTCTGCTTCCTGGTCTCTGTGCATCACACACAGGGGCACTGCAGCTGCATGGGGCCTGGTGTCAGGAAGATTTTCCTAGCTAAGCATTTTGGCGGGAACCCTCCCCTGCTCCTTGTAGTAATTTAAGGGCGGAGCTCCCACCATTTCCTCAATTTGTTTCCGGCCACCATTTTGGGTGCCTCCTAGCATCTTTTCTCCTCACCAGTCTAGAATCGTCTTACTGTTTTGCTAAATGTTTCTCTTTTTGCTGGCAGACAGAATTGGCATTGCCCCATGTGACCTTGCTTCCTTCATGTGTGCAGGTGGAGTTCCCAGAGGCCCGGATCTTTGAGGAAACCCTGAACATCCTGATCTACGAGACACCTCGAGTGCCTGACAAGGCCCTCCTGGAGGCAACCGGTGGGGTTGCGGGTGGGGGTGGAGGCCCCCTCCGTGCTGGTGACGATGAGGATGGGCGGGAGCATCGTGTCCGGCGTATTCATGTCCGTCGACACATCATGCACGACGAACGACCCCATGGCCACCAGGCGGTTTTCAAAGACTAATCCTGCCTCACTGCTAGCGTCCTCACAACTCCATCCATTCAGTGCCAAAGGAGAACTTGTTTCCTCCTTTCGATTTTTCACCCAAGCTCTTCCCTGTCAATTTCACATCCTCTCCAGCCTTTCTCTCCTTTGGGGCTTTCTTCCCTGCCCATTTTCCTGTTCCTTGAATTCACCTCCCTTGGCTCCCAACCTCTCTTTACAGTAACGGTTTCCACTTTGTCCTGCCTGCTATTTTATTGACACATTCTTTCCAGATGTTGCATTTTCTTAATGTTTGAATCTTAATCCTAAATGCCTGACCTTCCATTCCCCCCATCATAATCTTCAAAATGCCACCCAAACCTGGATTGTGGTCCTTTATTCACAGTTTCTTTGACCTGGAATAAGTTTTCTTCCAGATCTCATAGCACCTGACTCTTCACTACTCTCTAAAAGTTAGTATCCTGGGAACAACATTCACACCAAATAGCAAGCTATACCAGTCAAAATCCCATGTTCCATCTCAGTTTGATGTTGGATTTCTACCTTGCTGTCTATATTTTGGAATGCATTATTGAGTTCTTGTTAACTTTCTCTTTCAGAGGTCAAGTACAAGGTCATACCTAGATAGGGGTGTATCTTTTTTAATATGCTAACTCTCTCCAGTTTAGAATCTCTGGATTCTTTGACTTACAACCTTCACCTCACAATAGATTTTATTTTAAATCTCCACACACACCCCTCTTTGTTTCTGTTCATCCAGTTTTAACCATCTGGATTTATGATGGAAACAGTCATTTTAAAATGGAATAGCTAGAATTGTAAAGCATATTCCATTTGAGTAATTGCTTTTTCTGGATAAATGGGAACTAGGCTTAATTTCCTATTAGCACTAGTGACTAAATCCAGTTTCAATTAAACCAGAAAAACAGTTTTGTGTCAGCCTTCCTACTAGCACAAGCATTAACCTGAAGCATCCATGACATCAGTTCTCTTGTTTGTTCAAATCCTAGTAAAGAAGCTGGATTCTGGCATTTCCCCTGCTTTGGGTCAAAAACACAGTTCAGCATGGATTCTTTTAAGTGCATGCCATGAAATCTGGATCCTGGTTCAGTCTGAACTCTTTCCCTCTCACCACCTCATTACATAAAGTATAACAGTGTATTACAGTGTATACTTCAGAATATATATGCTTCAAACCCACAAATCTCAGACAATGGAATGTGTGGTCAACCTACTTGCCACAATCCCATGCAAAATTTAAGTACAGAATTTTGCCTCCTGTGTTTATTCCCTTCTTTCAACAAACAGACTTGGAACTCTTGTCTCTCTCCTGGCCCTCCTCTTTTGTGCCCAGAATGCTTTTCATTTCCCTTTAGTTTTCCATAAGAATGGTACGCGATCCACAAAATCTTATGAGGACATTGCAACAGTCCCTTGAGCCAGCTCTTAAACAGAACTAGTTGGGATACTCCTAATGATGGTATGGGGAGAGGAAGGTGAGATTGTAATGAACCATTGCATTTTGTAAAAATGCAGACTGGTGAAGGTAGTTTTACTGGGGAAAAGGTGGTGTGTTTCTCCTGCCCTCTTTTTTTTTTCCTGTATTTCCTCCCCTCCCTGGAGGAGGCAATCTTGCATTAATTATTGTAATTTTTTTGTATTTGCATAATTTATTTTAAATTGTGTTTTTTTCTATTAAATTATTGTGATAAAGGTTCCTGCTTAAAATGGAGTAAGCTTCTTATTTTCGGCATTGGAGAGAGATGGGAAACTATTTTCCAGAGATTTCCCATGTCTAGACAGACACCTACTAGGATATTCGGAGCAGCTTTTCTTGATTAGGTCACCTTCCAGCAGCCCACGGGGTTGTACATCTTAAGTAACTGTGGGTTTTAGAGAGGAAGTATGTACCTATACTTAGCAGTGTGTGGACCCTGCCATTTGGCAGCCGCTCTGTTTTGCTACTGGCGATGGCCTATCCCAGGAGAGAAGTAAACGCTGTGTGTAGCTGTTCTTCCCTCCTGGTTCTGGGCTTCTCAGAACCTACGGGATTTATGTCTTCTCCAGTTCTCCCCTCCAGGGTAATACAAGGCGCTGGTGGATACTTTGGATTGTCTGGGGAAGAGGATGAGTGGAAAGTGCTACATTTTAGGAAATGGAAATGCGGGATCTATTCTCACAGGGTTTGGCCAAGTGACCAAATCCAGCCTTGCCCAATTGCTAACTGTTGGCACCGCATTTTAGAACATACAGGGAAATGGTATGTGTTTCAAAGATCTTCATGATTCATTACTGTCCTAGATAGAGAATAAAGTTCACTTGGCATCTTTTCTTCTGTAGATGACTTTGTAAAGAAACAAATGGAATTCTGAGGCTATGGGTTGCTGTACTGTGGTTAAATGAGTGTGTGGTTTGATTTTAATTTTAAGAAACCATGATTTTGTAGCATGACACCTTTTGTCCCCATGTCTTGGTGGTTTTCTACCTTGTTTTGTACACATGGATACACACTTGGACTAAAGCACATTATGAGTTTTCCCCAACTTGGGATCCTCCACATGTTCTGGACTACAGCTCCCATCAGCTGCAGTCAATACGTCCAATGTTAGTAGGAGATGGTTGTGATCATGGTTTGGAGCCTCTGAAAGGTGTCAGGTGGGAGAAGTCTGCTGGACTCTCAAACCGTGGACTCAGCAATCTGTGCAACCAGGGTTCCGCTACACCAGTGCACAAATGTCCCCATAAAGCATACTCCAAAGCATTTTCATCCAGTAAAGAGGTGGGAGCTAATAATCCTGACCATGCTGGTGATGTGCCTGACAGCCACACTGCTCTTGTGCAACAATGATGTAGAGTATGTTCTTGCTTATGTATCATCTTTCTAAATATAAGCAACTGTGATTACAAGTGCCTTTTTGTCCTTAATCTATAAACCTTCCAAGTTGTTAATGATGGTGACAGCATCGTAAAATTAGCCCCAGGGAAGTGAAATAAAGTAGCAAGGAACTTAATAAGCTTGCAATTACTGCTATCTCAATAGCACCTAGATGTATGTTTATAGGGTTGTTACTGAGATGAATCACACTATAGATTCCAAAAAAAGAAAAACCGCAAGATGTCTCTGCGGCTAATACTAAGGCACAGGAGCTGCACTTGATTATCTATAATCATGCAACATGTAACCTGGCAGTTATGTGGCAACACATCTATGCAAACATCTCATAATATCAAGTTCTTCATTGAGCTGATGCGCATTTTTAGTTGACCTGCTAATGGGCTATATGAATGTTTACTCAGAAACAGGTCTCCATTGAGTTTAGTGGGCTTCACTATCAAGTAAACATGCTCGGGGTTAACTCCTGCATTCCGGAACCGGATGTCATCCAGGTGTGCGGGACTGCAACTCCCATGATTCCCAATCAGCAAGACCACACTGGTTGCAATGATGCGAACGGACACCCAATACAGCTGGAGGGTACTAGGTTGGAGAAGTCTGGGTTATATGAAAAACTAAATAACCTTGGATACAAGCTTACCCATAATTAGCGCAGGCCAGTTGAAACCAATGGAACCAAATTAGCCATGAATCCAAGTTCCATCGATTTCAAAGAGTCTACTTTTCAGGATAGCTAAACCTAGACCCAACCCCCTGTGGGGGAATTATTTGAATTTATTTTAAAAAACGCAGCCAAAATAAAAATCGTGCACTGCGGAAAGTGGGTGGGAGAGACTAAATGGCAACCACTCCTGCAGACGGTGGCGAGCGGCGGGTTAGAAAGAAAAAGAAACCCCTCCCTGAGATCATGTGACACAGGAGGCTATCACGTGCCTGGGATGGGTCACGTGCTACGGTCGCCTCCCCGGAAGTCACGGAGGCGCTGGTGGTCACATGACTAGAGGAGGCCGAAGGGGGAAACCGGTCACGTGGCGGGGGCTGGCTGGGTGAATGTGCCGGGCGGGCTTGGGGGACCGAGATTAGAGCGCAGGCGGGCGCGGTGTGGGTTCGAGGCGGGCGGCCGGCCGGGGGCGAAGGCGGCAGTTGGGCCTTAGGGCGAAGGCTACGCGTTGCCGCTGTTCAGGGCCTACCTTTGGAGGGGTGATTTTTTTTTTTTGAAGCGGGGTTCCTGGGCGCATTTTTCGGGGGGGGGGGGAGGGGCCGGGGGGAGGGGGGCGGTTAGCTGTGCTCTGAGGAGGGCCCAGATTGGCTCAGACGGGGGCAAGGTGGGCCGAAGGATCTGAGAAACGGGTCGAGAAAGTTTGCGCCCCCCCAAAAAGTGGGGAGAGGGAATAGGTTAGGATTGGCGGGTTTTGGGGGAAAACTTCTTAGAAGCTAAGCTGCTAGCAGAGGTTGTGGGGGGGGGGACTCACATTGGGGTGGGCTGTGCAGAAGAACGGTCTTTAGTGGGAGGAAAGCAGCCTTTTATTTCGAGGCAACAGGGTTGTGTTGTCGGAAAGGAAGGTAGTTCCGTTACAATTGTGGGGAAGTGTCGAATTTTGTGCTGGATTCCCAAGGATCGTGGCAGTGCTGAGTAACGGGGTTGGGGGAGAGTGTAGTAACACAGAGAAATAATTGAGAGGAAAAATTAGATAGGAGGCACCTTTAATGAAAGTCTGTATAAGCTCTTCTACTTGAGGATTAGTTTAGGGTGTCTAAGTGACACAACAGAGTTAAAAGTGTTGGTATAAGGACTAGAGATTGTGATTGCATACTCCTAAGCTGTGGTAGCAGTGCAGAATTTAAGGAGTACTGCAGGGGAGCTGGAAGCTTTCATTAGAAAAATCTAAATCTGCATTTAGCTGTTTTTTTGTACTGTTTTGTGGGGGAGTTTTAGTCTTGAAACTTTCAGAAGGAGGCCAGTAATTTGTTTCCCAGAAAGAAAGTCCCTGGGAAGCCTGTGTTTTCCTAGAAAAAGGGTTGGAGCAGGACCGTGGTCCCTGGTGTTACAGAGCACCATTTGCATCCTTGAGATTCTGCTGCTTGTTCTGCTGACCCCATCCCAAAACAGCCAGAGGCCATGCAGAAAGAGGAACTGGGCATGGATGAGAATCGCAACCCAGAAGAGGAGCTGCGTCTCTTGGGGGGGAAGAAGGAGAAATGCCACAACCTCAGCAACCGCATCCGAGCAGGTAACTTCACAGAAATTGCAACCAAGTAGATGGGCCCATTCTGAGTTAGCCTAACCCACCCTGGTGCTCTCTGTTGGGCTGCAACTTCCAACATCCCCCAGCCAAGTGGTTCAAGAATACTAGAAGTCATGGCAGCCTATCTCAGAACTAAGAAAAATGCAGGCCTCTGCACATTCATACACTGGAAATTTTATGCTGGGTGCTTAAACTTTTGACAGATTTGGATTATTTCCTCTTGCACACCACAGCAAATTGTGTGCATCCCTTACCCTTTTAATCCAAAAGCTGCTAGATTCCTGGGAAAAGCAGGTTCTCAGGACTGCTCATACCTCAGTTTTGCTTGCTTCAACAATTTAATTTTTGTTAGGTTTTCAGAGCAGCATTTTTCCCCTCCCATGCACAGATGAAGTTTCCTGCAGTTTTCCTTCTACAGAGTCAGTCCATGACTCTGTATGCAACCACAGTCTTTTCACAAAGACAGTCCTATTCTCTCCCTAGTAATTCAAAGCTCACTAGGCCACACTCCCCTCCGTGGATTTCAGTTTCTTGTTTATCACTGTGCTATGTCTTATGCAGTTATTTGTTTAATAGCTGACTGCCTTTTATAACATTCTTCCATATTCTAGCTATTCTTTTTGCCTATAACCGCTGAGAGCAAAAGCCTTCTTTCTGTCATACAGGGGATGGAGCAGAGCTGTGCTACAGGCCAAGCCAGGTCTCCAGAGAAAGTGTGTTGTACTAAACTAGGACCCCCCCCCCTTTTTTTTGTCATTCAGTCTGTCTGATTCTGTTCCAGAGGTGGCTGCACCTCAGTGATGGGTGAGCCACATTCATCCTTAGAACATAGATCCTTGAATTCTACACTACAAGCACCTTTCACTGAGTGTCCCTTGTCTGTTGAAATGGTGTGGAAGAATATCTGGCTGTTACCTTTTGCTTCTTTATTAGATAGAATTGTGACATACATCTAAATATGCTTTCCTCCCTTCTAACACAGTCTGGAGAGGGGCTATAATCCATTTAGGAATGGAATGGAGTATTCAGGTTCCAAAGAGCTGCAGAACTCTGTATTCTCTGGGCAGAGGGGTTAGACTCTGGTTTGCAAGGAGGATTCCTGGTTTTAGGAATTCCAGGGTTCTGAATATGATCCATCTGTTTTTCTTTTCTTAGCATTTCTTATTGCACAGAGAAGTTTGAAAATATGAAGGCATATTTTAAAAGCTAAATCACTGTAGTATGTAACAGTTCTGGTGACCAGGAATTCCACAGAGCTGGTTGAGTCGGTTGGCAGGGGAAAACAAATCTCTCCATTTCTCCACCGTCATTTCTGCAGGGTTGGGAGGAAGGGAAACCTGCCCCTTCTCTTCCAGCCTATTTACTAGAAAGCATTTTTAAAAATAGTGTACTAAGACTAGCAGTCTTTTTATGCTGCCCACAAAATAGAGGCTTCCCCTTCTTTGCAGGCAGCATGGATACACCAGCTACTGGCCGCTTGGCAGGCTGGGAACCTTGATGGGCTTATTTGCAAGATGGATTGGAATAAGCGCACGATGCAGGGTGTGTGCACTATTACAGCATTAGAAGTGGTGTTTCAGATCTTAGAAGCCATGTATCTACACAGTATAATAATTCTGCATGAGGGAGATCTCCCTCCCTCCCTCCCTCCCTCCCTCCCTCCCTCCAAGGCAAATCTGCAATTATCTGGGATTGTGGGGGTTAGCAACACTTAGGGTTTTAAAAAATTACTTGTTGATGGGAAGTCTCTACCCACAGGTCATCCCATCCCCCCCCCCCCGCAAACTTCCCTGGTGAAGTTGCTATAGCGTCTAGGATGCTGTACTGCTATGGAGTTCCATTCCCTGCCTGTTTATGGCCTGCTGATCCCAAGCTGGAGAAAAACATGTCTGTATTCCTACCAGAGTATGCAAAGCATTCTCCAGATGCTAGCAGCATGCCATGTTTTGTTGTGGTTATATTTAGGAGTGGGTTGGTGTAGTAATATCAGTAAAAGTGGTGCCCTGTAGACTTACCATAAGCCAAAAATAAAAGACAGGAGGAGCTTACAGTGACACTTTTGATAGTGGGAGGGTGACAAAGGGAAAAGAGGGAGGGCACGATTTCCTTATTATGAAATGCTTTGGTTCTATAAGTTGTGATGCATAACTGATCCAGGCATTGTCCTCACCCTCACCGTCCTCCTCCTCCTCTAGGGTCGTGGGAGTCAAATGGGTATCCTGCACCTGCTGAAATAGCTGAAGAGCCCAGTGTTCCCTTGAGCCCTTCCAACAGCCTTAATATCCGCAATCTTCAACTGTCTGAGCGGGACCCTCCAGTTCCTCACCACCCTCGCCGCTATCCTCATCACTTCTATCATGGCCGGCCCTTCCATGCGTCCTACCGGAAGACCTATCGCGGCAGTCCCTCAGACCGCAAGGAGTGGGGGCCCAGCACCAACGGCCATCACTGTGCACCTGAGGGCATTGCCAACGGGCGATGGCAACACCGGCGCCGTGGCTATTCCGATCCACCCTCCCCGTCGTCGTCTCCCGAATCGGAACGCGATAGTGCCGTCAAAGCCAGCGAGAAGCCTGCGGTTACATCGAACCCCACCACTGCAGCCACTGAGGATTCTGGGAAGGAAACCTGGTCACTCTTCCGGCCCCTTCCTGCTTTTCCGGTTGATAGCAGCAGTGCCCGGATCATCCCCAAGATCTCTTATGCCAGCAAGCTGAAGGAGAACTTGGATCAGCCAGGGAAAGCCTGCCACGTTCCCGCCTCAGCTGTCCGCACCACTAATAGCCTCCCCAATTGTGTCTTGGCGCCACCCCCAAGCAGTCCCCCACCAACTGACAGCAGTCGGCGACAGCACCTGGGAGCCATCTTTCAGAATGAGTGGGGCCTCTCCTTTATCAATGAGCCAGGAGCTGGGCATGGAGGGGGTGGTGGGACGGCACCAGATAAGGATGTAGAAGATGCAGACACTGGAGCATGCTGGGAGAAAATGGAAGCCAGTGATTGGCAAGCTGCAAGAAATTACCACTTTGAAGGTAAGATAGTGGGAGGGGTTCAGTGTTTCCATTGTGAGAGTGGGGTGTCACAGTGGAGTGTATGTTGAGATTTAGGAACTATTGCATAGATAACTGTGTGTCCTTCAGAGATGGTGAAGAGGAGAGAATCCCTCGTTTGTGATACTAGCGGTGTGTATGGCGATTATGAGAAAATGGGCACTCCTCTCAGGGTGCAGAGAAGGTTTGCTGCAATTCATACAAGTCTTGGGGCCTGGAATAATATTAGCAGTTTGTGAAGATAAAAGTCAAGTATTGGGAATATAGGATTTATTTTCCACAACTTTTTCACTGCATGCTAGATAAAATATGATTGATCTTGGAATTCTACATTTTCTCCAGTTCAGTGTTCATATTACTACAGTTGGAGGGGTCAAATGGAGCTTTTTGTGAGGGCTGTAGCTAGTCTTTTTACAAGGTTATAAGGAGCAGTGATTTGGCTAAAGTTGGGGGGAACTGGGGCTGGAGCTTGTGGGTTTCATCAAGCCCCCCCCCCCCGTGTGTTTGAGCACTGCCTCATAAATGGATGCAGCTTTAGGTGGACTGAGTCAAAAGTTGGTGAGTTTCTCTCTTTAGTGCACATGGATGGATATGTGTGGTCTTTATGCATCTGGATCCCAATTGGGCATTTAGAAAATTTTAGAGGAGTGAGCTGCTTTAAATTATACTGGAGGGCTATTTGGGCTTACTTAGGAATAAGTTGCACTGTCACTTTGATTCTAATGCACCTTTTTTCTCACTCCTAATGCAGAATGGAGTCATATATTGGAGCTACATGGTCAAGGTAAGGAATGGAAGGAATCTCCTTTTAGAATTCTAGATGAAGAGAGCAAATAAAACTAGTCTAATTCTGTTCAGTACTGACTGGAGATATGAGGACTGGGTTTGTGGATTAAACAAACATTTGGGAAGGAGTACAGTTGTATGAAATGGAGGAATGTGGGTGGTGACTTTGTAACGGAATTCTGAGACATTTCTGAGTGTTGTGGCTGTGTGAGCTGTTTTTTTTTTTTATCAGAAGCAGCAAGGTACTATATAGCAACCTGATTAATGGCCAAAACAAATGAAAGCTTATTGATTCAATATTTGCTTTCAATATACAGCAAGGATACCTTTTTCCATATATTTGTCTATTCCTTGTCATATAGCCAGTCGCAGTACAACCCACCACCATGAAAATGCACAACCTTATTTGAGTGCAAATGTGGTGAACATTTTACTAGCATTTTTGTAAGGAAAATGCTTTCAAAAATTGTGACACATCAGTTCCACATTTGAATGTCGTCCTTTGACTTTTTAAATGCTGTGCTCAGCTGTGTTTGAGTGCATATATTAAATAGTTTTAAAGCCCTAATTGCTAGACAGCTGTTATACTTTGGGATGAGACTTCAAGACTCAGTGGAGAAGACAGTGCTAGAGAAGGGTGAAACCAGAAGGGGAAGACCAGATATGCGATGGCTGGACTCCATTAAGGAAGCTGCAGCCTTGAAATGACAAGAGCCGAGCAGGGCCGTCACGGACAAGACCGCTTGGAGGGCATTTATTCATAGGGTTGCCATAAGTCAGAGTCATAACTTGGCAGCATGTAGCAACAGAAATTGCTCAATGATGCCGATGGTAGGAAATGAAAGTACAACCTGTGTTTGTAAAATACTTCCAACTCCAGATCATAGCATGGAGAACTTGCAAGACAGTGAAACCTAACAACAGAACTGCCTGTTGTTGCCTTCGATTCAGAAGCCAGGCAGTCCAGATCTTTCAGTCTGAGCAATAACAGGATACAGGGAATCAAGCAGGGAGACATCGGGTTGTATTCAGTGTTAGTCTAACGTGTTGCATTCATTTCAATTGCTCTGCCCTGAGTCGGCCTAATATTGGATAGAAACTGTTGTGTGAGAACTTGGTCGTGTGCATGTGGCTGTGCTGTCCAGGAATGAGGCAGATGCAGAGTAGAGTGCACTGCTGAATTTCACAGCTGTCTAGCTTTGCACGTGGGGCTGCCTGAGACAGTTTGGCCAAGGCATGGACTAACTGAATAACTGCATAGTAGGAAGCAGGTGGATAGGGAACTGTCCTTGGACTACCACTCTAGTTTCATAGGTGAATGGGACTTGGGGCAGGCAGATGGCTTATTCATGTCTCATGGGACATCTCCCTTTAAGGTACACCATCATCTTCTGTTTTCCTTTTTTTCTCTTTCTAGCTCCTAGCAGAGTGAAGTTTTATACGGATACCTCGGATGGAAAGGGTTAACTTCAGGAATATCCAGGGGAAGCACCGCTAAGATATGGGGGGCACATGGGGAGTGGCAAGGCTCCCACCCCACCCCACCCCCTTGAAGACTGGAGAAGCCCAGGCATCTTGAAAGGGGAAGCTACGCTATCTGCCTACCTCCTTTCCTTTGCTGTTATAGCCCAAATTGTCCTGGGTGAGACTGTTGTCTCATCTCCTCCCCCCTTTCTCTCTGTTTTAATGCTCTGGTTTTTAATTTCTTCACATGGTTTTTAATTTCTCTGGATTCCCCTGAAAAATAAAGGCAAAAAAAGAATTTATTTAAATTCAATTATCTTTCTTTGTCAGTCTCTGCTTGTTACTCAGCACAACACAATTCAGCAGAGGGAGATACTGTTGAAACCAGGGTCCTGAAAGGGGTCTGTGGGGAAAATTACTTTGAAGGTGTAAATATGACAAGATTTCAGATGATTTTTTGAAAGCATGGGACTAGAGTGCAAATTTTGATGAGTTTTGCCAGAAGGGAACAAAAACATTTAGCTAAGAAATATAATTGAAAGAAAAGAAAGAAGAAATGCTGTGCCTTCTGGCAGCATGGTGATGGGAGCTGTAGCTTGGCATGATTATTCCTTTCTATGTTGTAGAGCTAGGGGTTAATATCTGGCGGTATCCTCCAACACTGTTTTATCTGGGTAGCGATGAATTCCTTTTAGCTTCTAGACGAGCTCTGTTAGAAAGTCCCTAGGCCTTTGAAAAGGTTTGCTATTTGCTACTTTTTATTTCAAAAGGAGAAAACCTTTTAAAAATATCTCTAGCGTCTTTTACAAAAGTAAGCCTATGAATTGGCACAGCTGTTGGTATAGTAATGGCACTTCACTGATACTAGGACGGCAGGAGAGCACCCTTGTTACCTTTAGGATAAAAATTGATTATTTTATCAATTGTTTTTATGGCTGTTTTTAATCTTGTAAGCCATCCTGAGATGCAGTAGTGAAGGACGGCATATAAATGTTTTAAACAAAGAAAAATAGCCTATTTATTGAGAATAGGATCTGCTTAGCATAATAGAACTTCTGGGCAAATGGATCACTGTTAAATGATTTCATTCATTCATTGTGCAAAAGGAATCCTTTCCTGCTGCTGCCGCCATTTAGCTGGAAGAAAGTAGCTTCTTAGATAAAGAGCAGCACAAGTACTAGGAGGAGTAGATTAATTTCTTGTCGGGCTTTTCCACAGAAGGGCAATGCTGTAATTCTAAGCATTCTTCCAGAGAATGAAATTGTATACATTATTAATACCATCCATAATGTTGACCAAAAGGCACGTGTCCTGGTGGGTGTATGCCCACAATACCCACCAGGGAGGATTTTCTTGGATTGATTCTCAAGAATAACTGGTTACCAATGAATTGTTCCAGATGGCACATCTGAGCAGTCCTTAGTTGGCCCTTTTATACATAGAGCATTAAAGGGTTACATGTAACACAGTTAACGCTTTCCAATAGGTTACATAAGAAAAAGTTGCAATGGGATGATCTTTCCCACTTGCATACTAAAGAGGATGCTCTGAAGGGGGGGGGGAGGATGGGGTGCTATTACATAGAAGAGGAGGAGGACGGGGTGGGCTGGTGTGAATTGCCCTTTGTTTGAGCTGCTGTTATCTGTGAAGTGCCAACTAGCTTTCTCAGGACTAGTGCCTGGTTAGTGTTAGCTACCTTTCAAGGATGCACACATGCTGATTATTCTAGAAAAGAAGGCTTTTCTCAGGCCTGGTTATGTGAGATTGCATGATTTAACCAAGGTTATACCTATTGACTTGTACGTCAATAACATAAGGGGTGCTTACAACTTGGTCTCCGTTGTGCAATGCATGCATCATTTATTGGTAATTCGCTAGCATAGCTTTCTCCAGATGCTCTGGACTACAGCTTCCAGCATTCCTGACGATTGGTCATGCTTGCTGGAGGTGATGGAAGCACAAGTTCAAGACACTTAGAGAGCACCAGGTTGGGGAAGTTTGGCCTGTATTCTACACAAATCTAGCATCGGGAATACCCATAGTAAAGAAACCAGGGGATATCTGGAAGAGGAACAGGGTCAATTCCCTCAAGGTGCAGAAATATTTCCAGACGAAACGGCAGAGCTTCGCTAGACAACGGCCCGTCCGACGCAAGGCTGTTGAGGTCCAAAAGTTTCGTGGATGGCCGCCGTAGCGTAACTGCCTTTCACGTTTCGGCTCCCTCGCCTCGCCTCCTCGCCTCGCCTTTTACGGTTCCGCCCGCCCCCGCCATGTGCACACACGCCGGCCAAGGAGAATGAACGCTGCATGAATCTAAGAAGTTGGTTATGTGCATGGAAAAATAAACCAGAATACATTGGTTAATCTTTAAAACGTCACAAGATTATTTGTCATTCATAAGACAATTATCGAAATGCAGCTACATTCATTTTGATGATAAGCACTGAGGATCCGTAAAAGAACACTTTTGCCCTCAATCAAAATGGCTCTCAAACATTCAGTAGTTAGGGTAGGTCTAGCAACTCTCGGAAGCCTTTTTCTGTGGTCTCACGGAGCCGTTACGCCGGAAGACACACAACCCGCTCTTGTCGGCTCATTCCCCTTCCCGGAAGCAGAGCCGTGTCTCTAGGAAGTGAGCTAGGGAAGGGAAACGGTCTACTCGGGGCGCGTGCGCACTGTGCCACTGGTCCGGGCGAACGCTGTTGCGTCACTCCAAAGCCGTATCTCCTACGTCATGAGAGCGGGGTGGAAGACGGGAGCGTCATTTGCGCGTGCGTAAGAAGCTTCTTACCTGTCGGATGGCCATGTAAAAATAAGGCGATGGGTGGGCGCAAGTACCTCTTAAAGGCACAGCACCTTCGATAGTGGCAACCTTCGTAAAGAGGGAAGGCGCCTTAGCTGCAACCTGGAGGGCTGCAGAGGAGAGAACAGGACGGAGGTAAGATGAGGCTCTTCCTCCTTTGCTCCTGTGGACGTTCTTCTCTCTCCTTCCTCGCCGCAGCTGTTTCCCTTTCTCATCCTCTTCCTCCGGCTACTTTGCGCTCCATCAACTTCTCTTTTCTACGATAGGCCTTTTGTCCCAATATAGGCCCGTTTAATTGCAAGGGAATGAAACCCGGGACGACAGTGCGCGCGCCGAGTCAGTTCATTCCGTCATTAGTTCAGTGGTGCCCTCGGAGCGAAGCCTTGGGGCACAAAGCCAAGGGCCTTTCAAGCTGGCAGGGTTCGCTCACCACATTTTGAAACATGTGAACGTCCTGAGAGCCCTTTCCTGCGCTGAGACCATAAACTCCAGAGTCTAAAATTCCCGAGGGGTGCCGTTGGTGGCTCTCCGGATCGCAGGCACAGAGAGCGTTCGCAGCCCTGCTCGGTAAACTCGCTTTAACTGCAGAGACTGAACCTGACGGGTCTTCAGCAGGTAAATAAAACACATGGAGCAGCTCCGAATTATAGCGCAGGGCCCTCCCAGGACCTGATGTGCCGTGCAGTTCTTTGCCGTGTCTGCTCAGGAGGAAGCCCCATTGTGTTCCATGGGGCTTGCTACTTAAGCATGCACAGAATTGTAGCCTTCTTTGTATTTATTAGAAAGAGAACTATGCTTTCTTCATTATAGCTCAGCAGCTCTCTGTCACTAGTCAGCAGCCAAAAGAGAGGTGATCTCCTGCATGCATACCCCCAACCTCCATTTCTTCCCAAAGCAGTTCTTAGCAAAAGAAAGGCTACTCTTTCTTGTCCCTGTGGAAACTCAGGAGTGATAAATGATAACTTGCCCATGTCTGCTTTCTGTAGTTTTACAGCTGAGAGTGAATCCAAGCCCTGCACTTTAGAGCTCTCAGGAAGAGTAGCAGTGTAAAAAGTAATCAATGAACAAGAAAACTATCTGCTTTCACAATGTTAACCATCTATGCCTTCACACCTGTGACTGTCTATCTCAAGAGTTTCCTCTAAACTGGGAACACAACTAGCTTGGACCCTGATTTGAATGCTAATCCTGAACCATGAAATAAATGTGTATAGTAATAAAAGGTTTTCTGAGTTAACACTGAGTGATTTGAATTGATAAGAAGCTACAGCCAACCCGTGCCCTAAGACACAGGGCCCAAGTATTATTTTGGAGGAATTTAGTCTAAATTTCACACAAACTCCCGCACACCTAATGTACTTTTCTGGGTACCCCCAACATTTGAGGAGCTGTGATCACTTTGTGAGAGCTACCCTTCTGCTATTATTTGTACTTGTTTATTTGAATATTTGATTTTGCAAGAGCTGAGCAGGGCTTGTCAGGATCAGAACATTTTCAAACCTTGCCATCAGTCAGAGAAAACTTGACAGCACATAACAACATTTGTATATTTACATCTTGCAGTTCTGTGAAGAAGTTCAAAGTAGGTCACAATGACATAGCTACAACAACACAGAAGAGGTAACAGAACAAGACTGAAAGCATTATTGTCAGCCTCAAGCCTGATGCGTGTTACATTCTCTTGAAAGAATCCATGGAAGTAGTTGCTTTTTCTCATCAGGTCAGGAAGGAAGCACAACAAAAATAAGGAAACGGCCACAAAGGGCTGATTTCTGCTATCCAATCTGCTACAAAGATAACACAGATAGTAAGACCTGCTGATAGGAGAGCTCAATTTGTGAAAAGGCTCACAGTCTGTGTAATCTCCTGGCTGTCTGCTAACATTTATATAATCTGAAGTAGTTTATCCTAATAGCCAAGAAGGCAAGGTAATCATTTTTAAAAACACCATGATTGCCCTACAGTTTTTACCAAAAGAGTTAGGGTACCATGCTTGCTACGAGACTGAGCTATGAATCAGAAATTTGGGTCTTGCCTGTGCCAGGAATTCACTCGGTGGTTTTAGGCAAGTTCATTCTCAGCCTCAATAGCTCCATTTACAAAACAGAGAATAAGAATATTTTCCATATAGAGTTGCTATAAGGATTACAAATAGCTAATACCTGCAAAATACTGTAAATGCTTGGAAGTGCTAAACATGTTAAACATGATTATTATCAACACGGAAACATGCCTCTTGACAGCTGTAGTACGTGTCAGGTTCAGGATGATACATGAATAACATAAGTTTACATTCATGTACATGGGAAAAGAGTGTACCCACCCACAGACTTAGCTCCCTGAAACCTGGGGTGAAGTGGGAAGCAGAATCTTGAAGAATGACAAAGTTAACCAGTCATGCTGACAAAATGTCAATAGGGTGTTTGTAAAAGGCAAAAGCCACCCCTGTGACTTACTAGGAATAAGTATTGGAAAAAATGGATTGTCCCCCCAAAAATAGTAAAAATTGGAGCAGGAAAGATCTGAGATGATGTCCAGAAATCGTTTTTAAAGATTCAAGAAGACTGGAGATGGGCCAGCCTTATTCCCACTGAAGGCATCTGTTGGAGGTGTGATGCCAGTGGTGGGTGGGGTTACCTTTCACTTGCTTCCTTCCTAATACAGGGAGGGGACATACCATTCTTTCCACGGGACTGAACTGATTCCTTTCAGCATGCATTTAGATTGCCTGCCCCGGCTTAAGCGATGCTCTATCTCTAGGCCCTCTTATTTTTCCATCCCCAACTGTACAGTCTCTGCTTATCGAGCACCATCCTCTCAGCCCCCAAAGCTACTCATCATATTCCCTTCATGCCTTTTTGTTTCTTGCAGGGGAGGGAGCAAGGATGCTTATCAGATTCAGTAGAGAACAAACTTTTTTTTTCTTTTTAAATAAGTCTTCAGAAGTTACTTGGAGAGATGTTCATGAAGCATAGCAGTCTACCATGAGCTCCTGAGCTTATGTTGAAACTGTGGTACAGGAGGAGTGTGCAGTCACTATGTTGAATATGCAGCCTCCTCTTGGGGGTTCTCATGTTGTGCAACCCAGAAAACATGGGTTATGTGAGGGGAAACAACCCTCGCATAACCCATGATCTCTTTCAGGGTTATGTGATTTAACTCTCACATAACCCTCAGTTACCTGGTTTGAACATTACATCAGCTGAGCTGCAATTGCATATGCAGTGTGGGGGCACATAGGGGCTACAGCACATTTTGAGTTAAATAAGCCACAGGGGGCATAAGCATGTTATGCAGACCTGGTCATTATCTTCTAGAGAGCAACCCCAGCCACCATTCAGACTAGTGCCCTTTTTATTAGCTGTGAAGGTCCAACACCGCTGCTTTGTCTGTTTGTGTCATATCCAATCCTAACTGTGTTATTCAGAAAAAAGTACTGCTGAGATCAATGGTATTTCCAAGTGAGGATGCTAAGGGTTGCAGCCATGTTTTCTGGATGGATTGATTTGTATTTTGATACTACCTTTCTGGAGTCAACCAAGAGGGTTCACAAAAAAATCAAGGAATGAAAACTTTAATCAAATAAAATACTGTCAGACATATTATTATGTCAGACATTATTAGAAAACCTAATAATGATTTTTAAAGCCTGGGTAATAAATTATGAATATATGGAAAATGGTATTATATGAGAAGAAGAGATATCCTGTGTGTGGTTCTAGGAGGAGCCATCAGATCAGTTCTAATGTACCTTGTTGTTTGTTGTTTTGCTAAGAAAGGGAGGGAGAGAGTAGCCTTACATTGCTTTTGGAAGTGTTGCTAAGGATGACAAATAGCAATTGAACTGAATTATTTGGGTCAGTAGACCCACAGATCTGCTCTGACTGCATGAGCTTTTGCCACTGAAAATACATTCGCAGTCTGGCCCTTTTCACAGAAGAGAGGATTTAAAACTTTTCATTCGTATGTAGTTATTTTGGAGGGGCAAAGTTCCCCCTCATTTATTTTCTCTTGGTAGTGAACAGGGATAGAAGTTTGGAAAACTTGGAAGATTTTAAATTGAGCCAGGATCTGCTAGGTGTTAGCTCAAAGCCTGTTTATAATGAAATGGCTGAGTTATGAGGGTCTTTGAGCATGTGTACAGTGCTTTTCCCTCACTGGTGAGTGACTGCTAGATTTAGTTCACTTAAGATTTGCAGGAAGGCTATACTTCTTGCATTTATTACTTCAGAAATAAAGAATTAGATGGCAGGCCCAGTTGGAGAGGAAATAGCACTCAAAGCACTAAATTGAGAAGGTTGGTCAGTGTGGATTAATGTAAGAAGAGACAACATGGGTGTAATGATTGTCAAATGACCTGATGGAAGAATGTTTATGGGCAGAAGGGAATCTAGGTTAGGATGACCAGGCAAAGCTACAGATGACCTTCTGAAAACATAACAATTTTGAAATGGAGAGCGGGCAAAGCCTTGATAATTCCTGAATGGAACAATTGACTTCCACTCAATTTAACTTTTTAAAAAGGTCTCCCAGTTGAAATGTGCATATGTTTCAGTCAGTGAGCATATCCCCAATTACAATGTATTGCGCTTCGGTTCAACAGTGCCTTTCCAGCTGAAGTGCATGGACTTGCTTATGAGTCATCCCAGCCCGATGGTCTCCTCCTCGCCTTCACCAGTGGTGTAGCAGGGGAAGGGTTTTGTCTCGCGTCACAGCAACATCACTTCCTTCCAATACCGTGAACTTCAGGAGTGGCTAGATAAATGGAACAAGAGTGCCTGGCCTTGGTTGCCGCCTGTGTTCAAACCTCCCAGTTGCTGGTGCAGCAGTGGATGCTCAACAGGCGCACAGTGATATTCGCAATAGCGAGGATTCTGCAGCGCAGGCGCTTCCGCAGGTCCGCCGCTGTGCTGAGACGGATCCTCTCCGCCAGCGTACGACGCAAGAGGGCCCTGCTGCGGCTTCACCGAAATGCGATTGTCTCGGTGGTCACTATGGTGTACTCATCGTCTCCTGCGCTGCACTACGAGCACGAGCTGATGGCCTTGTCCGAGCGCTCTCACTGGATGCTTCCACGATGCAGCGAGTGGTGGGAGCGGATGATCTCTTCAGAACAGGACGACAAGTGCTGGATTTCCCTGTTCCGAATGTCACGCTCGACACTGATGTATATTGCTGAGGAGCTGCGCCCTGCCCTGCAGCGTCGAGACACAGGTATGCGGTCACACATTCCCGTCGAAAAGAGAGTCGCCATGACCATCTGGAAGCTGGCGCACCACGACAGTTACAAGACTGTCTCGGAACTCTTTGGGGTGGGGATTTCATCCGCGTGCTCCATATTCGAAGAGGTCTGTGAGGAAATCAACAGCAGGCTTCTGGCTCAAACGATCGTTCTGGGAGAACCGCAGGAGATTATGGAGGGCTTCAAGGGGATGGGCTTCCCCAACTGCCTTGGTGCAATCGATGCCATACATATCTCCATCCTGTGTCCCCCCTTCTCTGCTGACTCCTACATCAATTGCAAAGGCTTCTATTCAATGGTGTTGCAGGCCCTGGTGGACAGCAAATCCCGTTTCACCGATATCTATGTTGGCTTTCCTGAACGGTCCCACGACTCCCGCATCCTGCACAACTCTCCTTTTTTCAACAGCATGGATGAAGGCACCTTTGGGCCACAAACTCAGACAGTGTTGGAGGGGGTTTCCATGACCCCTGTTGTAATTGGGGATTCTGCATATCCCCTTCGCCCCTGGCTAATGAAGCCATACCCTGCCCCCAAAACCGAGGCCCAAGAGAAATTCAACGAGAGGCTCGCCAAGTGCCGAGCGTGTGTAGAGAGAGCGTTCGGGGTCCTGAGAGCTCGCTGGAGATGTTTGCAGATGAGGCTGGATGTGAGGGAGAAGCTCATTCCCGTAGTCATCGCCACTTGCTGCATCCTGCACAACATCTGTGAGATCAAGGGCGACGAGTTGCTGGAGCCGTTGGAAAGTCCTGCAGCTGCAGAAGCCCAGAATGCTTCAGCCAGGCCAAGAGTGCCACTGTCAGAAGCTGGACTGACCAAGAGAGCCTGCCAGATCAGAGCTGCCTATTGCTCCTATTTTGAGAAGAACCCTCTGTAAAAGAATAGATTCATGTGCCCATGTGACTTCCGTTGTTCCATATGGCCTGGCTGCAGCATCAAAGTCTACATGTGGTATCTTGTTTTACAAATCAAATAAAAGGGTTATAATTTTGTTGCTTGTTGCTTTATTTTTAAAGTAATTGCTGTGATGAAAACAGCCTTAGAGACATTAGTCCTGCATTTCTCTGAAAACAATGTGGGAATGGAACAAACATAGTATAAAATTCAGTGAAAGCTGCAACTACAAGAGTTGAAACATTTACATTCCCTTTAGTCTTTTCCAAAACCTAAGCAGAGATATGGTACACCTACCCAAGTGGTAGCCACAGCAGATTAAAGTTGATTGATTGATTCTTTCTAAAAGTTTACTATGGCTGCAATCCTGTGCACTCCTACCTGGGAGTAAACCATACTGAACTCCATGAGATTTACTTGCAGTACAATCTAATGCTTTTTTACTGAAATGTATCTCAAAATATTTCCTATTTCCTTTGGTCCAAACCTCTGGATTTCAGTGGCCAGCCCCTTATCCAGATACTGAGCAGGGGATTCACACAGATTTTGAAAATGCAGATTACGTATGTCTCTCTAATTTTAACTCCAGGGTCTGTACTTTACTACATCTTCTTGGCTGTGATTGAAAAGTTGTTCCTGTTTTGGGGTTCATCTAGACACCAAGGGACCTTTAAAATAAGAGTGATGGATTTCATGAAAGAGTGCTGGACAAGTCACCAGGACCCGTGTCAACAATTCTTACCTTCTGTACTTGGACAGATGGGATTTGTTTCTGATTTGCAAACTATGATTGTAGGCAGTACTTAAACCATGGTTTCTTGGTTTAGATCTCACAGGAAACTATAAACAAATTAGGAAGCCTTCATTCAATCTGGGTTCATGAAAAGAGGGGGGAATGGAAGAAGTGCTCAAGCTCACGGCTTGTTCCTGCTCCAAAAAGCATGATTTGTTAGAGCAAAATAAAATGTCTGTGTTGTGACAGACTGTTGCTTTACAAATGGGAACAAGAAGCTTTCCTTAAGCTTTTTTCTAACAAACTTAGCATATTTTTTAAATTAATGACTGGCAAGGAATCTGAACACAGGCTAAACAAATTTAACATGGCTCCCTTTGAGCTAATGCCCTGCTTTCTAATTGTTAAGGAACATCCAGCTTTGTGGGGAAAATTCTCAAGCCACAGAGGAAAGCAGCAATCGATGTATGTTGGTTGCAAACATGTTGTGTAGTTACACAGAATGTGTTGAAACTTGCTTTTCACTATTATATGCCTTTGCCACAGCTAGAACATTGAGCAGCTGCTGGGATTGTTTTAACAATGGTTTCCACCACTTCAAAAGAAAATAGTTTTGTTGGAGCATGGTCTGTCTTTATTGGTCAGGATTTCATTTGGAATAGAGCTCACCTAGAATTAGCCCTGGAGCACAGAAATTCCCAGAGATCACCCATCTGTCTCACACACACCACTGAGAACCACTTAGCATTAGGAGCTGGAAATGTGTGATGCACATTAGAAGATCCTGCGAATAATAATATTTGTTGAATTTTTGAAGTGAAGACCACCCATATGCTTTTCACATTGTTTCCTACAGGGCTGGGCCTCCTGTGAGTTTTGTACTGTAGGAAACAATCTAGAATAACCACGACCAGTTGCCTGCGTGCCTGCTCCCTCCATGCGCATCTGGGATCAGCTCTCCCATGCACCCTTACATTCCCCTCTCTGCATGCCTTCTTATTTTGCAGTTCAGCATTGCCTTGGGGGTAAGAGTGTTGGGGATAGAAATGAAACTGGAAAAAAGGCAGCAACGCAGAGATTCTGTTAGCCATTTGAATATATGGCAACTACTGTGTGAATAATGGTGACATCTGGGAAATCAATACTGGGAAATGTAACAAAGGCCAAGCAGTTCTCCTGACTTCAGTGTTCCTTGTGGACATTTGCCCTTACAGCATAACTTCATTCCTGGAAGACTGTTCGAATATTCCTGGAATATATCATCTGCTATATTCTCCTGGAGTATTTAGAAGGTTGTTGGAGAAGGTGAAGACACAGCAACGTGGCAGCAACAGAGCTGTCCGTGCTGAAGAATGTAAGCATATATATTTTTGTTGGGTTAGGTCAAATGTCCGCCTAGGTCAGCATCCTGCTTCCCAGAGTAGTCAGCCAGATGGGAAGCCCACTATCACCTGCTGTAATTCCACAGCGTTCAATACGAAAGAGCATATTCTTCTGAGCCTAGAGGTTCCATACAGCATCCTATATAGCAGTCCTCCCCACCCTGGTAGTGCCCTCCAGGTGTGTTGGACTCCTGTAATCCCAGAAACTGAGTACCACTCACTGGGGAAGGCTTCTATAGTAAACTCATTCTCCAAATATCGATCCTTATGTAGCTAAGACAGCACTACCCAGTCTCAAAAGAGGCATCAGCAGATGTGAGAAAACCACAATAGATTCGGGACTGCAATACCAGTTGGAACACTTCTCTAAACCCTCTACTGTCTGTCTGAACTCTACACAACCTCTGGAGGCCTTCTTAGTGCCAACCCCTCGAGATGCTCAGAGGGTGGCAACTAGGAGGAAGGCCTGTAGTGGCCTCCCATCTTTGGAATAACCTCCCTGCTGTGGTCCACCTGGCACCAAATTTGCCATCTTTTCAATGCCAGATTAAAACAGCTGTCTTTGAAGAGGCCTTTAAAGAGCTCCCTGGCCATCCAGGAGCCTGGCATGATTATCCAGGTGCCTTTCTTTTATTCTTGGCCACATCTTTTTTTTTTTTTTTTGGCTTTCAAATGTTTTTATGTTATTTTAAATTACTTTTAAATTCTTGCTAATGTTTTTATTTATTGTATTTTATTGTGTTTATACTTTGCTGTAAACTGCCCAGAGATCTTTGGCTATGGGTGGTATAAAAATGTAATTAATAATAACAGCATTTTCAGAATATTTAGAAAATGGGGGTAGGGAACCACACAAAAAAGCCCAAAGAGGACTGAGAATGGTCAGTGGCTAGAGGATACTGGGTAATTATTGGAGAAGGGGGAAATAGAAAATTGGGAGGAAAGGGTGAATGAAATTATTTTAAGTTTAATTATTGTAAGCTGTCCTGGGATGTTTTTCTTATAGAACGGGTAACAATATTTTAAATAAATAAATGGCATATCCTAGAAATGGGCATTGCTTTCTGGCATCCAAAACAAGTTTCAATATAGCAACAGTTGCAAGCCCTGCTTGTCATAGTTAATAGTGATTGTAATAGTATCCTCCATGAAGGTGTCTTTTTAAAGCTATCTAAGGCAGTGGCCATCAGTGCAGCTTGAGGCAGCAAGAAACCATTTGTGGACATAACAGAGATGCTCACAGTGATGGGGTGGACAGAAAGTAGGAATTTTCTGTGTGTTGCACTGTGGATTTACTTGAGCATATTTAAGAAATAGCAAGCAGGCATTATGAGAACTTTCTCATAGAATGGGTATGTGCCTCATAATTGCACACACTTCATTCTTGAGAAATAAGCAAGTGAAAGATACAAAAAAAAATGTTTCGCAGGACCAAAAGAATCTACAGATTGAAGCCTCACAAAATGAGAGAATGGAATATAAGAAATGAAGCAATTGTATGTTTAATTGTCCACATTTGTCTGCTGATTACTCTTTAGATGAATTTTGAGGGACAGACAAGGATTTGCATTCCTATATTCTGAAACAGGATGCAGCAGTGGTGAAACTGCCATATGGGGGATGATCGTTCTAAGCGTCCTACTGTTCCAAATGCCTAGCCTTCCCCTGTAATTTCAGCTGTTCCTTCCTAGTTCCATGGTGATGAAATTTGCCAGCTTCTGAAGAAATCTGTATTGCAGAAATCATCAAGAGCAGGGAAGAATCCTCCATGTTGGTTGAGTGACAAATTCTCTCTTGCAAGCAGAATCGTCTAGCTAAGTAGGCTGGTGAAGAATCCTGTATTTGCTAACTTCAGAAGTTTAAAATCCTAAGTTTAAAAATGAGAGCATTAGAGCTCATTCAAACCAGCAGTACAGCATGTAGTATATATAGCTTTGTCCTGTGCTATCTCTGAATACATACTGGAGATCCTTTGCTTTAAAATATCCCAGTTTCAAAATGTACATAGAAAGCTAGGGTCAGTTTTTGTGTAATTTGTAGGGAGAACTCAAGCCAGGGATGTTCTCAAGCAAGCCTTCTTGCTAAACCATAGGCCATTAAATGTTTAATCTTGGAACCATGATGAAATGGGTCTCTTGAACACATTTTAACTTTGATTTTTGAAAAAAAGGAAAGCTGAGATACTTTACTACACAAAAGGGGGTGGGGTAGAATCATAGAATAGCGGTGTTGGAAGGGGCCAAGAAGGCCATCAGGTCCAACTTCCTGCTGGTGCAGCACACCAATTTACATCATCCTACATAGATGACTGTCCATTTTCTCTTTGATAGCTACATGTTGCCAGCCTATTCTTTTTCATTATCGCTAACTGATCAGTTTATTTATTATATTTCTGTTCCATCTCTTTTCCTCTTGCAAGGAATGAAATGCAGCTTACCTGATGTTCCTCCTCTCCAGGTTATCTTCACAACAATCTTCTGAGGAAGTTAGGCTGAAAATTAGGGACCGACTCAAAGTCATCTAGGAGTGTTGACATGGCTATGTGGGGACTAGAACCCAGATCTCCCAAATCCCAGTCCAACACTCTAACCACTGTTCCAAATTGATTCTGGCAAACATTTCAGCATCTTGTAGCGCTGGAATGACACTGCAACCTTCTTACCCTTCCCCTTAGGGGTGACCATGGTCATCTGCTCCCTGCTCAGTTCCCTGCGTGTCTGTCTGGAGCGACACCCACCTCTGGTCTCCTCCTTCTTCTGCCTCCTTTCGTTGGCTGTTGCCTTTATCGGTTTTGCTGTCTACATCCAGTCGCATGATGTTCAGAATCCTGATGTCAAAGAGGTGAGCTAGAGGGCCCTGCATAGACAATGAAACCAAAGTGCTTGGGATGACATCAGGTTGTGGCCCTAAGGGAAGCTGGGAAAACTTTTGAGGGCAAACAGGAAAAGGAGATGGTGGGAGGATCCATGTTCCCATAATTCTCTTGCTAACTGCTTAGGCTGAGTCCTAGTAACTGAAATTTTGATTGGTCATTATACTGAAACTTCAGGACTGATTGGCTATTGTCACAGATGGAAGGCACAGAATTTTCAGCTGGGCTAGGAAAAAGCTAGCTGTGTTAGGTGTTCCTTGCAGAAACAGACTGGGATACTTCGAATTAATTGAATTTGGAGGATTACAATTATTCAGTCTTGAAATGAGTATTGTCTATGTTGGCTGGTATATCCACCATTATGTCTCAGTCTTTATATTATTTTTGTAATGGCTAGAGTGCAATCCTATTTTAGCTACGGAAAAAAAGTTCTACAACTCCCAGCATACCTGGAAGTTAGAAAGTGTAGGATTTTTGTTTCTGTCTAAGCATGCACAGGATTACACTCTTACTGTCAAAGAATTTCTGAACAGCTCACAGTACACCCCCCATCTCACAATACAGTATAAGGCCAATATAAAACAGTGTAAGAATAAAAACAGGAAATACAACAATGCAATCTTCAAAAGAGCATTGTCAATCCATTACAAGTCAGGGAAAGTCTGTGTAAACAAATACACCTTCTGGAGGCGTTGAAAGCTCACCATAGTTTCTGCCTCTCAAGGAATACATAGGAGGGTGTCGCAGAGGGTGAGTGCCACTACTGGGCTTATGTGCTATTACTTGACAACACAATTGTTTGCATAATGAGCAATTAGATGGCTTAGAAAATCACTTTAGGTAAATATAGGAAAAAGGGACTAACTGAGTATACTGGTCCCAGGTTGGTTAGGATTTGTATACCTACAACACAACCTTTGACCAGAAATAGCTCTGAATATAATACTGCTTAGAGAAGGGAGAGTAAAAGAATACTTCAACAATGCACAGTATTACACTATTAAATTGAGGAGTTTAGTTATTTTCTCTAATATTCAAAGATCTAAACTGACACATTATGAAACTAACAAAGCTTGCTATCTGTTAAGAATAAAGAGGGAGTTTTAAGAAGCAAGATCATGTGAAATGGGTTAAGTTTTTTTCTTTCTTTCTTTAAGGCAGGAGCAGAAGCATCTAATGGCAATTCTTTTCATTCCTTTTTCCAAGGACTGGAACGCTCTGCTAAAGTCTCTGGCACATTTAATGTTCTGTATCCCAAATAAGACTCAGCACAGTGCCTCAGCACCACCTCCTTCCACAACCACTGCTGAATCCTCTGCAACACTCTCTGTCATGGTTGGCCTTACCTTTGACCTTCACAATGGCACAGATCCTCCTAATGGTACACACCTGAGTCTGACAGTCAGTGGAACAGAACTAGGTCTCAAAGGTGAGTGATCTCCCACTGCTGCACAATAGTAGGAACTGGGATCCTTGCAAAGATTTTGGGAAGTCCGTTTCCCTGTTTATCTCTCCATGACCTTTCCGTCCACCAACTCCATGCACAGGTCCAGATGCCCAAAAGTCAATCCACTTCTTGGCTGTCGTCATGAATTCTGCCTCCCGCGAATGCTGCCTTAGCATTGTTGCACCTTTATCCCTTCTCCCCAAGACCAGGTGAGATAAGAGGAAAAGATTTGGTTGCAAGGGTTCTTAACTCATTCATTCAATGCATCCATTGTATTGTAAGCCACCTAGGAAGGGCCTGGCAGTTACAGGCAGTCTATAAATATGTGTATAAATAAATAAATCCCTCCTGTTCCCAGACAACCGCCTCAGTGTGAGATAAGGGAGTGGAACATGCATCTGGAAGAGTCAGGGGTTTGCTACAGATCCCATTACCAGGCCAATCCTGCCCTGTCCAGCATGCTGGACCAGGTAAGATACGGGGGTGGTGTGGGGGCAGTGTCTTGTTTTGGGACTCTGGGTTTCTCCCTGGTAGAAGCTAATGACAAAGGAAGGACCATTCACTGTCACATTCTTTTCACTCTCAGGCAGATCGTGCCCTTTGCAGCCAGCGTCTCCTGATGACCAGTGCTTTCCTTCTCTGCCTCTGTGCCATGCTGTGTTGTGCAGCTGGCTTGTGTTATCCAGTACCCAGAGACAAATGGGGTCAAATCTGAGTGGGTCTAGCTATTGCCATGTTTCATTCCATATTCCAAAGAACCCAGGTGTCCTGGCTACTTGACCACTTTTCTGTAAGTACCTGGATTGCACAGCATTTGCCATTTGGTAGATCTACTTAGTGGTGGTGTGGCTGAGATGTGCAGAGAGTTCAGTTGTGACTTTGCTTCACTGGAGTACTAGATGAACTCCTCTGAGAGGGAATAATGCAATAAATTAGATCTAAACGCAAAAGGTCTTTGTTTTTTGTCTTATGAGTGGCTATACCAGTGATGCAAACTGAATCATAATAGTATTTTTCAGATGGATATTTTGGGAAAGTCACACAGTGTTGAGTGGGGCAAGGACTACTGTAGTATTATCCCAAATGGGACTATCATTGATAGTAAATGTTGTACTAAAGTTAGGTGCTGCAGGTCACTTTGTTAACATAACCAATAATCATTGCCCCCTTGGTATCAGAGCAGAGGTCACTACTCTCAAGATTGAATAACATTAATGGGAACAAGTGATGTGACCACAAGAAACCCAGTGCTACTTCTTGATACAAGTTACCTCAAGGTTTGCTTATTTCTACCACAATCCTATAAACTTCCACCAAGAAGTAAACTGCATTGAGTTAAGGATTTATTTGAATGCTATTTTATTTATGTTACGCTTTTAAAACCAAAGACATACCCAATAGCTTATAACAATTTAAAAATGCACAAGGGGGCAAGAATAAGAATAAAAACAGCTTACAAGCAGCAATGAGATTAAAAGCAAGGAATAAGTGGAAGACAAAAAATTAAAAGCATGCTGAAATAAGTATTTCAGTAATGGCTTGAGGTTTAAGGAAAAGGAGCACAGCACATCTCTACAAGGGGATTATTCCACAGTTGTGGCTTCACCACTGAGAAGGCTGTATCTCAGATACGTGTCTAGTTGATCTCACCTAAGAGCTGTACAAAAGCAAACCCTCTGAAACTGATCCATAGCTTACCCCTTCTCAAATGCTACATCTAAGGGTATATGAATTATTCTATCGGGTGCCTATCTTTCACCATAAATTTGAATAAGAACACCTTGCATCATTTCCAGAAGATGCTCATAGTAGGGTTTCCTGCCTCAACTGCCCAGCCCCTCCTGTCTTTATCAAATCCCTTCTCCAGTCCTATGCCTTTTACCGTATGTTGCTTTCTCAGGCCCTGGTTTTGTCCCACTTCCTTTGTTCCAGCTCTTTCGTTCCCGTATCTCTAGATCCGCTTCCCTACCATTCCTCTCCCCTCTTCCCCGCACCCTGCAGCATTGCTTTAAGCAGCGTGAGATTCCATCAGAACACCAATTTATCTGTGTCCCCATTTTGCTGTCTCAGGCCTTGCTGTCGTATCCTAAAATATCCAGCCCATTTCCTCAAACCGCAGTCTTGCTTCTGGGCTCCCTACCCATCCATTTCCGTCCCAGGGTCATCTCGAAGTCCTCAGATCGGCCCCTGGAATGCTTTAATCCCAACTCAACCGACAAGCTGCCCTGCCCTCACGGAAATCGGACTGCAAACTGCACCGAGCAGCCCAGGCCATCGCACCAGCTCAGCCAATCAAGGTCAGAGACGTCACCGTGAAAAACAATACGGTACAGACTGCTGCATCAGTATCGGTGAAGTTAACAACCGAGAGGTATTCGCATGACGTTGCCGGGGCTGGCGGCCCTGTTTGAAACCAGGTAGATTATTCTCGCCTAAGTCAACACTTTCAGAAGCGGTTTTATTGGCTGTCTTCCCGCCTGCTTGCTTGATGTTTCAGTGATACGGTCACAGAAGGGTGAGTGATCTGCCCCGTCCTTTTGACCGGTTATGTGCCGCATTAGTCTGGATTTCACCGGTGTCAAGGTATTCTCGGTACCACATGCGATGAGGAAACGGTCGCACTGCGAAAACCAGAAGAAACGTGGACGTTGCACTGGGTGAGGGGAGCGCCTAACCCCGCCCTCCCTCACGGAGCTTCGGGCGCGCGCGCACCCTGTGCCCCTGCAGTGACGGTTTAACCGTCGCCTACAGTGCCCTTTATTTCCCCTCATTGAACAGCTGTCATCCCCCGCCGCCTTTCTATACGCGCGCGCCAATTCGATCTGAATCCTGCCCCAGTAACAGCTGAGCGCTGGAAACACCGCCTCTAAAAACCCCAGCCTACCAATCACGTCCCGCCTCTAACGTAGTGTTCCAATCAAAATGCGCTCGAGGGCATGTGGAGTCCCAGTCTGACTCCTTTCATTGAACAGGTTGCTTTTCATTCAACCAACCAGGACGCCAAGCTCCTTGTTTGCTCTCGCCTTTTCCGAAGTTCCTCCTCCAATCCCAGTGCATCTTTCTCATTTCTATCCGAGTGTTAGTCTCTCCTCCCACCCTCTTCATATTGTCAAGGAAAATAAGTCCCGCCCATCAACCGTACACTAATCCAATGAGAGCGGGCCTCTTTGCCCCTTCTTTTTATTACTGCGCGTGCGCTGCGTTTCATTCAGTGAATACTTCCCCGTGGTTCCTCATAAAGCTCTTCTACTCGGGCAGGCTCTTTAGAACGCCCTTAGCAAGGCGCATGCGTACCGTCATTTTCTTCTCCGTTCTACGCAAGCGACTGTTCTCCGGCTTCGGAGAAGACTTCAGCGCGTGCCCCTTCGGCTTGCCGCGCCTGCGTGCTCCTCCCCGTCGCTCCCCTTCCCCTCCACACATGCGCTTAGGGTTCTCTCTGCCTTGGTTCCGGTCTGGCTCCTGCCTTGGGCGCCATCTTGGATTTGGGGACAACTGGAGTGAGTGAGAGGGAGGGAGAAGGCGGAGGAGCTCGAGGAGGCGAGAGCGGGGAGGGGGGGCCGCATAGAGCCAGGCCCCCCACCCCCACAGAACCCTGCATTACCCTTCCGCTAGAGAGAGGCTCCCTCCCTTTTCCCGTCCCACCCCTAGTAGGGCTCCCTGGACCCGAGAGCATTTCTTGGGCTTCTTTAGGACCCCCGCCCACCCCCACCCAGTCCTGTCTCCCTTACGGAACGCTGTGCATTCTGTATTATAGGTGCTTCCTAAAACCTCTCATTCTCTCCATTACCTATGGGACCATTTTCGCATTCCCTCTTTAAAATTATATTCATAAATATCTGTCGGGAGCCCCTGACATCCGTAAGGGACTGCAGCATACCATTTAGTTCTCATCTTATTTCCTTCATAGCTTGTCTGTTGGCCTCATACAGACTCATCAGCAGGGCCTCCTGTCTCATAGATTCACCCCACCCCTAATTTAGATTCTGTTCTCTCCCCCGCCCAAGAGCCGCTATAGAGCTGGATCTGCGAGAGACTCCTCTTCCGTTCTTTGCCAGGGATGCCACCATCCCTTTTCCTTTAGTAGAGCCCCCTGCCCGCCTTGCCTCCTGTAGATCCTTTCTTTCCTAGCTAGGCAAGGGTGGGGGGAGGCTCTACATGCCCTGTGCCTCCTACCCAGAGGCCTTCCTCATCCAGGGGAGCCAGTGACAGTTCCCTCTAAACCCTCTTCCTTGATTGGAGGAGTTGGGGAAGAGGAGGAGGTCGGGGGTGTACTTCCCACCCCCAGTATCCTGGAGCTGGAGCCACAAGGGGGACAGTATCTAGGCAGCTGCCGAGACTTACAGGTGAGAACCAAGCACACGGAGGGAGGGAGGGTATTTTGTGTGTGTCTGGGGCAGACTGGGGAGTGGGAACAGAAGGTAAATGTTTGGAGAACAAAGAGGCTGTATTGCACCAATTCAATGAAAAGGCGATTTTCTTTCTGACTGCTTTTATCCTCTTCTTCCCATGATTTTCTTTTTCATAATAAGTCAGGAATTGT